ACGGTATCTGCTCCGGGGTCGCCGCAGCCAGTTCGAGATCGAAGCCGTCAGCTCCATGGGTGTTCACATGGTGTACCCGTTCCAGTCGGTTACCGAACAGCTGATGATGAGCACCAACCAGACGCTGATCCTGATGTCAACGAAGCCGATCACCTCTCCCTTCCCGGACCCGCCACAGCCGCGCAGTCTCAAGCAGGTCAGCTGGGGCATCCTCACCAGGGAAAAAAAGACGCCTGAGAGGCCGTTCCTGCCCAAGCCAACGCTGACCGACGCACCCATCTTCAACTTCGCCGTTCCGATTCTACCGCTTAACCGGATGTTGGAAAACATGCCCTTGCCAGCTATGAAGAAGAGGGTTCTGGAGATCATTGCCAGTCTGGACGCCACCTTTGAACAGGTCCCCGACCCGGAGACCCGTGACGCGCCCGGAATGGCCAACGTGCTGCAGTCCTTGCTGAACATGATGTCCCTGCAGGACTTGGAAGAAATGTACGGTGACATAACGAAGATTGCGGATCGCGACGTTGACGTCATGCAGAAGATGTACCGTGAGGCCGTGGCAATGGCAGGTACCAACCCCTGCATCATGATGGTGAAGAAGTGGATCGAGTCAAAGGTGGTTGTCGGCACCGAGGCTGCCACGCTTGTCATGTACATCCCTATGCATATCAAAACGCCCACCATCGAGATTCTGCAGGAACTCTTCAAGCTGCTGCGCAACGGAATCGCCCAGAACGACGAGCATCTTCGCCAGAACGGGATGCTGGCCTTTGCCAACACTGTCAATATTGCCTGCATTCGGCCGGCCACAACCAAGAACGCCTTTCCGGTTACCATGTTCGAAGAGTTCTGCAATGCTGAGACGCCGCAGATCACTCAGCAGTGGGTGCCGTTCTTCACCAAGCGCGTAACAGAGGATGTGTCTACCCGCGAGAAGATGGTAGCCTTGAAGGCGATGTCGATGCTGCAGCATCCGGCGGTGGTGCCGACTCTGATGGAGATTGCCACCAAAAAGTCAGAGAGCGTGCACGTTCGCGAGATGGCTATCTTCGCAATGATGAAGTTCCGCATGATCAACCCAGTTCTGGTAGAGCGTGTCGTCAAGCCAATTGCACTTGATAAAAACGAGTTTCCCGAGGTGCGCATGGCGGCCACCGCCGTCCTCGTCTCGGCCAACCCGCCTCTGGCCACTTACCAGCAGCTGGCTCTGAACACCTGGACCGAGAATGACCAGCAGCTTTGCAACTTCGTCTCCAGCTTCTTGGAGGAGGTAGCCAACCTGACCGCCATCAACATGCCAGTGCTGCGTGACGTCCGAGAGAAGGCTCGGGTGGTGTTCAGGCTGACTCGGCCGGTGCGCTACGGCGACCTGTGGACCCGCTCCACCTTTGTCCGGAGTCACATTGATCTCCTCATGGTCACCGGCGAGATCGATACGGTGTCATACAAGACGCCGTTTGACATATCTACCTTCACGTACCGCGGCCACATGCGCAGCTACAACAGCATGGTCTTCCTCCCGCTGGCGATGCACACCAGGTTTGTCGGCATGCAGAACGTCATCGACTTCCTCACAGCCCCCGACAGCGCCGTCAACATCAACCGCTTCAACCGCGGCCCTCAGCCCGTCCAAACTTCCATCGGGGAGATGGCCGAGATCAAGAACCTTCTGAAGATGGTTAAGCGCGAGAACGAGCCACTGATGGTGTGGCTGCATGCTGCCTTGATGGGATCCATGGATCGAGTTTTTACATTCGACCAGCAGGCTATCCAAGGCTATCTGCAGAAAATGCGTGACGGCGACAGCAACAGTCATCACTTCAGAAACTTCCAGAAGCTGATGCATCTGATAGACCATGTCGTCGGGCTTCCCACCGATGTTGGAGTCCCCATGATGCTGTTCAGAAGCGCTCCTGCCGTCCTGTCCATGCGTGGAGATATTACGCTGAACACAAAGAAATCCGCTGATGGAAGCAGGGTAATCCGCATGGACGCAACGAACCTGCAGCCGTTCTTAAACGTCAAGATGATGGCCTTTGTTGCGGCTGTAAATCCTCTCACGATGCGAATGCTATCTGCTGGTGTCAACCACAACATAATGGCGAGCCTTCCCATCACTGCCAGTGCTGAGTGGGATTCCAAGAGCAAGCGCATCGAACTCTTTACACAGTTCATCAACATGCCCAACCCGGTCAACATGTTGCGGCTGGAGACCTGGCCGTTCACCTCGGCCTGGGACCTGATGCAGATGACCAACAATATTCGCCATAGCCCGGACACGAAGGCCATCCACGTGCGGCCGCCTACCAGCAACGAGATGCGTCTGGGCAAGGAGATGTTCGGAATAGACTTGACGATGGTGCACAGGAGTGAAGACGACTTTGGCGGCATTTGGGAATACCTCCGTAAAATGCGTGCGACCTACAACATGGGCAACATGTTCAGCGTGGTGCCGACAATTCGACCGAACCTGATGAAGCTCTTCCTGGACACTCCGCGCGCCACCACGCAGAAGCTGATCATCTCCATCGCTAAAGACACCTTCCGCCGCCACTACACGCTGGACACGGTCAACAACCCGGAGGCGGAGCCCGTCGAACGCATCGAGTGGCTGGGCGACAAGGCACAGTACCGCGATGAGCGTCATGCCGTTGTCGAGAAGGACGCACGCCGCGAAGTTCTGAAGCGAGCGCGCCGCACTCTGCAGGGCATTCACACTGGTGAGGCCACGGGCTATACGGTGGTCTTCAGCGCCATGGGCATGAGGGAGCGCCGGATTGCGCTGAAGATGTTGACGACGACCGACTCCAGCCGGCTGAACACGAAGATGGACTGGCGCGTGCTGACGACACCCACCGACGACATGCCGGTGAAGAGGGAGCTGATGATGGACACGCACGTCACCTGGCCGAGGGTCGGTCGCACTCTGAACGAGCTTCTCATGTCGGACATGTATGCGCCGATTGAGATGACTGCCAGTCTCGCTCTCAACGGCACCGTGAACCGCCTGGTCACCATGACTGGTGCGCTGCGCCAGACAGATTTGTACAAGATGTGGGCTGCTAAAAACCGCCTCACTGACGAGTGCCGTGAGGTGAGGAACGATGGCTTTGAGCACGCGCCTGTCTGCGAGCGCGCTATGATCGCGGCGTCTCGTCTCAACCGCCTCAAGCTGGACATGGACATCAACATGAACCTTGACGAGCACATGACCACCATGTCTATGATGGTGAAGGATTCCTCCACCAGAAAGACCAAGCGTGCGATGTCATCATGGACTGACATCATCAAAAACTGGATGATTTCCCGGCTGGTTCACTTCCCCAGAACACTCAGGCCGTCTCACCTCAACAGCGCGAACAAGCGCAGCATGGATTTACAGTTCAACCCATTCCAGAAGACCTGGACCCTCATGACCGACGATTCTAAACACACGATGATCGTCAAGAACATCCGTCCCGTAGAGATGCTCTGGTGGAGGACCAACGGCGTGTACAACAAGCACAACAACTTCGGAATGTCCATCCCGTTCATGCCATTCCTGAACATCCGCGATGGAATCAACGCATACGAGGACAGCTGGGACACCCTGAACCGCAAGACGATGGGTGAAGACATGCACAAGTGCATCATCGACGAGCGTTTCATCAAGACCTTCGACAATCTGACGTTCCCGGTCGACATGAAGAGGTCCTGCTGGCATATGATCGCTGGCGACTGCTCGGAGGTCACCAACCTCGCCGTCCTCGTCAAGCCGGTCGGCATGCGGAAGGCCGTGCGGATCATCACCAGCACTCGCATCATCGAGCTTCTGCCGACCGGCATGGACTACTACATGCGCGTGGATATGAAAGACTCGCGCCGCCTGCCGGTCGGCAACCTCGTCGTCCTGGAGACTAACACCAATACCAAGGTGCCTGAGGCACGCATCTTGAAGTGGACGACCGACCTGCTGGAGGTGGAGCTGCCGATGTACTGGGCGCGCCTGCGCATCGTCGGCCCGGCGGTTGAGCTGATGCTGGAGCCGATGTTCCTGAGGAACCGCGCGTGTGGCATCTGCGGCGACATGAACGGCGAGCGCTGGCAGGACATGGTCGGCCCCAAGCGCTGCCTCTTCTTTGGCGCCCGCGAGTTCCAGGCTGCCTACATGGTGGACAAGACTTGCCAGAGAGATCCGCTGCCCAACTACGGGGACAACTGCGTCAAGGTCAAGCGCGAGTCCTGGATGAAGTAGGCGGCCACTAGGCAAGCACGGCAGAGCAAGCACCAGGGCTGGGCCCTTTTCAGGGGAGCGGGCTGTGTGTTAGAGGACAGTGTGTTTTGGATGAGTGCTGTATGTTACGTTGCGCAAATGGTACGATCAATAAATGTTTGGTCGCTACAATGTCGTGCCTTTTCATTGCATGGCACCGACCATGCCGACCCCGCCATGGGTAGATGAAGTGAAAGCGATGCGTATGAAAGAGGATGCCAGTGGCTACTATCGCATGTATCCGTGAACTGAATTGCGCGGATAATGACAATGTTTTGTTTCGGGAAACGCTGGATAAGGGATGGCGAGCAGAAAAAACGACATATTCTTAATTGGCTTGGTTGAAAAACAAATAACTTGGCTCCATTTCCAGTCCCTTCCACTGCGCATTCCAGACGCATCTGGCATCAACTAACCGACAAAATTTCGTACATTTGAATTTTTGTGCCCCTCCTAGCACAAACGGTCACTCGTCGTATAGTAGTCCTGAAGGCGCTAGATCTCGCAAAATATCGATCTAATCAGCTGTTGGAAAGAAAGTCGCTGGCAAGTAAACTAGGCAGAGCTCACAGTGTCTGACTGAAGACTGAGACACGTATGCTGTACGCTGGATCTTATGCCTCAAAACAGGATAGTTCTGCGACCCTCTTCCCGCTATTCCCGAACAAATTTTCCGTAGTAATCACCACAGGAGTGATGGTGGCAAAGCGGTGGCTGCCTAGTCGGCAACTCTTCTGACATCACTTACCAGATGGAGTGGCTGTGACAGAAATCCAGCGCGGAAATGATCTGTCGGAAGAACCTGCGCGCCTCTTTTGGCGTGAGCCGGCCTTTCTTCACCAGGTAATCGAACAGCTCGCCTCCAGACACGTGCTCCAATACCAGATATCTGCAAAGGAACAAGTGCGCTTTGCAGTGGAAGGAAGTGGCACAAATAGGTGGTAGTATGGTTGGTTGGACGTTCAAGAAGCGCAAATTGACTGCCTCCATGCGCGTAGGCAGCGTAGAACCTCACACTTTTACATTCTTGTGAATGTCTTATAAACTTAATTGACTGAGGCACTCAAAAGTGATTTTTATGTTGCCAGGAAAATGTCACGGTATTGCAATCAGTATTTGCCTTTATACACAGACTCAGCTCGGCTCCATTCATTTATCACAACTGGTAATTGTGGGTAACTCGCCGCACTAGAAAGGATATGAACGAATAAATTGTTTAAACATAAATGGAACGTAAACATCTGTGAACTTATCGTTTAGAAGATTGCACGATTAATAACATAGCCCTCAAGTGAGAACTAATCACCGTCACATAAGGAGTAAATTAGGGTGCCTCAGTGCGTCCATACTTACAAGTATTTCTTGTTATCATATACGTCATACAATCCTAACACATGTGGATGGTCGATGAGCTTCATGATGGCTATCTCTCGTTCCACCTGAAAGAAGTATGTCAATTAGGACTTTTGTATATTACATGTGACGTCATAACACAGTCAGCTATGTCTTCCAGCGTCATATGCACAAAAAATCACTAGAGCGATTTAGCAGGATGGTTATACGCCATAAAAGTAAGAGCGGCCACGTAACTCCATTGGTTCGGCATGTACATCTGATAGTTCTTATTCTGACAATTTACTAACAATGAGAGGTTTTCTTACCTTTAATATACCAGCATTCAGGAAGCTCAAGCTAAATGACGTTATCTAGCAAATCCTAGCTTCGTTGAAGATCATTAATGTTGAAAACTTCATGGTGAACTTTTCTTTCACTCCATGCTTGCTTGACGCTGCTAAGTCAGTACCTTCTGATATATTTAAGGTCGGTTATTGTTGGAACGCAAACTTCAAAGTCGCAATATTAAAAATATTATGCTGTTTTGTTGTGGTCACTCAAAACCACAAAAGGGACACAAATTCATCAAAATCGATCCAACTCGAGAAAACCCCTCGCAGACATGGGTGTCTTTACCTTTACCCTTCCCAAACATAAAGTGGCTGAGAAAAACATGAGTGTGGCAGCTGCGCCTGTCTACAGAACTCGTGCTTTCTTGTCATGTCTCCTAGTTGACTAGCTAAATCAGGAGAAGAAGAGTTGAGTCAAATATCTGAACATCACCCAGCTGAGCTTTTTCGATGACGAATACACGGCAAACGAGAGAGTTCGCTAATCTACTGAATAGTGCTGACCATGTGCCAGCTGCAATTTGATCAAGGTGCTATTTTTCGGTGCCTATCACCCACACGTGTTGTCTAGTGCAAGAGAGAGCCAGGATTTTGTTCCGATCGTAAGTTATGCACATCGGTTAGGCACTAAATGAGTAGAAATCGTCCGCCTAGCAAAGTTTGTGTTTCGTTTGTGCGACACGAAAAAGCTCTCTCCGCCAACGTATCGGGCGAAAGGACCCCATATGGAATTTTTCAGGAACGTGATCACACTATTCCTTCCCAAATCGTTTTTAGTTAAATGCAAAGAAAAAATGTGTCATAGTGCCCTGATACTTTTGGGATCCTTCTTCAGAACTGCTGTTAGCGGCATAATTACTCTACAAAGTTGGCCTTGCCATGGACACGGCCTACACAACATTTCGACGTACCTGTACCAGCATGTCCTACTTTCTTTGGTTGTAATTTCATTACAGCGGGCTTGCTACGGTCAAGAACAACTTACAAAAGTAGCAGCAGCGTTTCGTTCAAGTTCGAGTGTTTGTGGTCTGTTGGCGTTGAAATGCAACCTTCAAAGCTCAGAATGCTCCCGTGCTAGGAAAAAATAAAGTGGGAAAATGCCCCTGTGGATCAATTACCTTAAACTTAAAATTATATTCCATGTATTTTTTTCTCATAAAAATGCAATAAGGTCTGCATATTGGTTACAAGCACACAGCTGCATCGGTGTAAACCGTTCGTAAAAGAATGCAAAAAATCGATTGTAAACCGTTCGTTTCACCCGGCCACGCAATCGATCAGGTCGACCAATCATTCCGCTCTGAGAAACTTGCTACTACATTAGTTCCTGGTGCTGATTTGAAGTGAAAATGAAACTCATTTTGAACGCTTTTGATAGCTTTAACCTAAAGGTCAGATAATGCCACTGATCTGGTATGATCCGACGTGACCTTTTACTGAGGGAAAAGTACCTAGTTTAGGGCTGATTCCGTGAATGGTGCTATAGGCACTACCAACACCTACATCATATTTCAGTTTGTTTGGTTCTACGTGACGTGATGGTCATAGTCTAGTCACCAAAAAATTACCATAAATAAGCTGCCGAACTACCTGTGGATTTGGTGTCTCCACCTCCCTTAGTGTCTTAGATCTCAGGGGTCAAATCGGCCTCCCTCCGCCCACCCGAGTGCGTCGCGTTTAACCAGCCACCTTGGTGCCCACCGTTGGACGCCACCTAGGCGCAGTGCTCTGGCTCATTGTGTGATATTTTTACATGTCTTCTGTCGTTTCACATTTTATGTACTTATTTTACGTGGATAGCGGTCAGACCAAACAATAGCAAGTCTTCCGGATGGAATAATTGTTGTGATTGTCGTCATCCCTTGTTTGTCGGTGTAAACACAACGTTTCGGCCAGTTAAGTCCTCGGCCGCCGTCAGGTGCTATGCCCTGTTCCACATGGCTCGAAGCCAAACATCATCCAGTGCTGCTCAGGACACCGTAACGCCTGACGATGGCTGGAGACCTAACTGGCCGAAATGTTGCGCACATACTATCACACCAGACAACATCCGTGGAACTGATGCTTCGTCTCAATCATTCCGTGAAACTATTACCAGGGCTTTCTGGAAGCCAATCCTCAGTCGCCCAAGCACTGCATCGGATTTCGACGGTCGCATACATCAATTAGCTTTGACGGGTTGCGTCGGATTTGAGACTGCGGTCTCGTCATAAGTATGCATTTACAGGGATGCACGGAAGATGACAAACGGGCCCAAAGACGGGGGCGAGGGAAGTGAAAGGCGGAAACGAACCTAGCCCGTTGAGAGCGTTTCATTCAGAGTGCAAAAAAATCACAGCCAAGACACACAAATACAGCCCCAAAGCGCACATCACCGTCTGGTGTAAGTCCACGCACGGGTACTTTAAAACCTTACGCTCCAAGATATGCTGTGGTTCAACACCTTTTTTCCGATGCTAAGAAAGCGGCAAAATGTAGGACATTTGCGGTTCTGGTAACAAATTCAGCGATCTAACTTAGCCCATTTCCAGCCTTGCACTGGACCCAATAATCAGCTTGCGCGGTCGTACGTCCCGAGACTGGAGGTTCCGTTTCGCAGTCATGGTAGCCTTCGCCGTGGATCCTGATTATCTGCCAGTCCCTATGTGCTTCTGACATCAGGCCGGTGAGTGTTTTTCGGAGCGTTTTGAAACAAGGATGAGCACTGGACGGTTTCACATTGTTCAATATGTTTGGATGCCATTTCTGCGAAAAGTCTGAGAGAAGTTTGGGTGACTTTCTAAGGACGGAAAATCTTTGGGGATCAACGAACCCTTTTCGCGCCTGATAGTCTTTCCTACTCAAGGACGATGTTTTGCGAATCTGAGAGGCTCATTTGGAAAACAAACCTCCGTCTTTAGCCCAGTCGGCCTTCTAGTAGGTTCGGGTCATGAGAATCATGTGTAAGTACCTTACAGCTGTCCAAATGTTTTGCAACTCCCGTCTCCGTGCAATATTACTTTTTATTATAAATAGCCCATCTAAGCACACACTCATGTTGCCTGCCTCAGTTGCCTTAAAGACCTTGGCATATTCCGCTCTCATCCAGCCGAGGATATTCGAAAACGAATCAAACTAAGGCCGTTTCATTATTGCATGAGATGAAAACACAAACTGTAAAATGAGATGAAACGGCAAAACCAGATGAGACGGCGGACTCAGAAGGCTAAAAATGCCACACGGACGAATGCAAGTCGGCCAGCATTACGGGAACGGCGCTTCGATTGATTCCCAGATTGGACGCGACAGAAATGGCCTGTCCCATCGCCACCGGATCCAGGCTCGGGCTGTCGCACACACGCTTCAGCCGCACGACAGCTGACTGACATCAGCTGACTGACTGACATGCAGCGGTGTAAGACAGTAGATATTCCATTACGGTCCATCGTCGCCTGTCCTCAGCCGAAACTGTTTCCGTGCGCAGTTCCCACACCCACCCACAAACGCGAGCGCGAGCTGTCGTGACGTAAGGCGGACAACGTCGCCAGGTCGCGGCCTGACGGGCACAGGTGACCGCCGCCAAAATGGCGCCCATGTGCAATGTACGCTGACAATGGTGGAGGGGGGGGGGGACGAAAATCCCCTTAGCAAGATAAGCAATATCGGGGCTGATAACCTCAACCATTGTCCTTGAAGCTCGATAACCAAGATGCATTGATTTGGTTGAATATAGCTGCGCTTAAACGGGCAGTGCCACCCATAGAAGTTATAGCAAAGCCCTCAGCAGTGAATAGGATGGACTGTAGTCATCACTGCCCACGCGGCTGGATAGTGAAGCTGTGTGATCCAAAGGACAAGATAATGAAATAGCTTCGATTTAAAACGGCGTTTGCAGTTCTCGAATGTCTTTGTCTTTCCAATAATGCGTCTAGCTCACCAGGATTTTTCAGATAGAGACACCAATGTGTCCATACCATGAAGGCCGCAGTGAACTCGTTGACAAAAGTGAAGACTGGTGAAATGCAAAAGATGGTGTCGTGCCTTCTTTCCAATTATGCACGTCGGCAGCTCGAGAAAAGTTTCAGGAATCCTTCCAAACAATCTAGTATGGAAAACATGGTCGAAATTTACAGATTAAAAACTACGTGTGATAACAGGTGCAAGAAAAGCTATTTATTGTCAAGTGAAGAAGCGACCCTACCTCTTTTCCCCGTTGACCATCCACAGACCAGACGCACTGATTTGAGTCAAAGCAGGCTGTTATAGAGGCCCATATGACTTTAGATACACAAGCACCTTGGCAGCAGGTTGGTATGACCCGAATCTGGTTTGTTGAAAGGGGAGCGCGGTCTAAAGTGATGCGCCACAAGCATCGCTGAAAAAGTGCCAGCAATTATCGTGTTAGGTAGGACATTCTGAGCTTTTAATATGCCACTTGGCAGACCTGGGCTTGTGGCCTTGAGTAGTTACAATACACTTTTAATGCGGTAACATAGTAATATTTCAAACTGACCGGCGACACTTTCGCTTTGAGTTCTAAGCGTTTTAAGCTTTTTAATTTGGTAATGAGTATGTAATACGCGTATTTGCATATCATGCGTGCATATATGGGCATCTTTGCATTCGTGTAATAAAACTCATGAACTCCTTAAGTGTTCTGGCAAACTGCTTTCACGTATGGTTTCAGAACAAAGTGACACTTCGGGTTGACAAAGCAAAACGGAGCAAAAGACGTTCGCATCTTTATGTGACTCCGAGCCCGAAAGGGCCTTGGAAGCCAAAAAAAACCTTACAAGACATCATTAAATAGCTCTAGCCTTACCACCATTAGAGTATGACATATAGTTGATGGCATAGTCAACACCCGCCCAATAATCGCTCTGCTTGATATCATACTAACCTCGCACTTTGGTGACAGTAGCGTATTCCACTGACCTTTTGTAGCACGGATTCGCTCAGCTTTTCTTTGTTGACTATCTTGACTGCGACTTTCCTGCCCGTCATGCAGTGTACGCCGAGCTTAACCAAGCCTGGAACCAGAGACACAACATGGTCATTAGTACTCAGCAGCTTCTGGTTTCGTCATGACGACGTCACCGATGCTGTGACGTCATACCACCGTCTACCCAGCTGCGACGTGCCGACGAGAGGTGCCAGTGATGCTCTCGTTATCAAGCAATCATTTCTCACCCCGCTCGTGGGTTGGGTGTCAGAAGAGGGACCGAATGTTTCCGCCGTGTTTGATGGGGCCGCTGCCGAGCTGCAGCGCAGCTACGCCCTGGTGGGTGTTATTCAGCCCCACGCCAGTGTCGGATGTATTTTGCAGGCCGATGAAGACGACAGTTTCCAGGTCATGGCATCGTTTGGTCAGCGGCCTCGTGATTTGTGGGCGCCGATAGGGGAGGGGTAAACGCGTCTGTATAAGCCACTACGCGCCTGGGAACCAGAAGTACGGAGCTCGAGTCCCCGTAGCGCGCGCCCTTCCTGCCAAGGGGAGAGGCAGGCGGCGCCATATAGCCTCAGCAGCTAAGTGCGCCACAAAGTTCCAATGACGACGACGACGGCTCCGTGATTTGGTGGTTACTCAGTACATTACTAGGTCGTTCGCGTCTAAGCAGCCACTGAGCTAAAGAAAAACCACACGATATGAATGAGAGACAAACAGCAAATCAGTGGTATATGTAGTTATTCGCTGATCCAGCAGAGTAGGCCGACAGGCTGCTACATGCACGGTTATTTTCCCAGGAATCACAAATAATGGCTCAAGATAAAATGCTGTCGCTAGCGGTAATATTTCTCAATGGCTTATCGTGGTTCGTTACCAAGAAATAGTTGCACATTAAATTCGTGATCGGAAATATGATACTCGTATGTTGCTATTTTTGTATACTTACGTTGCCGAAGGTTTGTGGTAGCGAGTGAACAATTCGAATGAAAAATGATGCGACCGGTCATCATTGGTACCAAGTGACAATTAAGCAATCAGCGTCATTCATAACACAACCTAAATAGCATGGGAATTATGGTAACACAAAATGCTATTAATAACCCACGGACCTTCGCATTTCTTGTTGAATTTATGATAGTGATTAAGGAGACTGGATTTACGAGGACAATGTTTGATTCCGGGCAGAAAAAAGAGCAGAATTGTGACACTGGACAGATATCAGGTCAGGATTTGGATCCTGGACATATATCAGGACAGTATTTGGATTCTGGACATATATCAGGACAGGATTTGACTCAAGCTTCTTCAACTAGACGGAAATTTCAATTGAGGTATCTGATTGATCTCTGCTTTAAGCCAAATGTTCAGAAGCCTATGGGACATTCCTTTTGTATGTTCTGACAACAAAGACGTGTCTCTAGCATGTATGGTTTCGGGGCAGCTGCAGTTGATTTAGTAACACTGCACCGCGGTCTACGGCCTGCACGGGTGGCGGGCAGCAATCAACGACGCGACAGAACGCACGGCGGGCCGACATTGCTCCGCTACAAAGAGATACAGGATACAAATATGATCAAAACACATGAAATCATGCACCACTGTGCTCAGAGTTGAGGAAGAAACACGCCTGTATAGCTTTCGTGACACTACATGACAATTATTGGATGTATGACGCTATAGAGCTGAAAAGTGCGATAGTCGGGAAAGTTTGGTCCAAAACCAAGCGTAATGGGGTCAAGTTTTTTAAGATGGCCACATCAAAATTGTTAAAATCGTTTGACTCGTTGAGACCAGTCAAATGGTACTTTCCGCTAAACTGTATCTGTCTTAGCTTGGAAACACCAGGGGGTCGCATCGATCCCCCCCCCCCCCCCCCTATCAGCGCTACCGAGACGGCGAATCAGCGAGCGATGGTTAAACATTTAACATTACATGACAACATGCTGGCAGATATTTTATGAAAGCGCGCTAATGCAGAATATAGCGGATCCTTGAAAATGCTAAACGATGCCGGCAGCCATCGAACCGCCGAGAAGACCATCGCTTATCAGAAGAGTGAGCTCATGCAGCTGCGAACATCACCAGCTGACATGCTTATCACGCAGCCGCTCTCCATCTTTGTAACCATGACAACGCCGTTCTGCCTGAGAGCTCCAGATTTTCGTAGACCACGTCCAGGTGCTTCATCCTCGGCGTCTGGGGACAAAAGTGGCCCTGGCCGCTTTGGCAGCAGGTGGTTCTCCGTCCTCCCTTCCCTTCCCCTAAACGCGCCTGATATCTTCCCGGCACACTTAGCCAGGTCCCATTTTTAAATTTCAACATTTTCCCTGTTTTAAATGGGGCAACATCATCATCATCATCATATGCATCATCGGCATAAGTTTTAGTGATGCCGAGATGCATGAATAACTTCAGCGAGCGAGGTAGTA